CACGCTCATCAGACCAGACCATGCTGGCCAGACCAGACCATGCTGACCAGACCTGACCAGACCATGCTGGCCACACCAGACCACACTGACCAAACCACACTCAACATACCAGACCACGCTGACCAGACCACGCTGATTAAACCACACTGACCAAACCACGCTCATCAGACCAGACCATGCTGGCCACACCAGACCATGCTGACCAGACCTGACCATGCTGACCAGACCATGCTAACCACACCAGAGCACACTGACCAGAGCACACTGACCAGACCACACTGATCAAACCACACTGACCAAACGACGCTCATCAGACTAGACCACGCTGACCAAACCACGCTCATCAGACCAGACCATGCTGGCCAAACCATACTGGCCAAACCATGCTGGCCAAACCATGATAGCCAGACCGGACCATGCTGACCAGACCAGACCATGCTGGGCCAGACCAGACCAGACCCTGCTGACCAGACCTGATCAGGCCACGCTGGCCACACCAGACCACACTGACCAGAGCACACGGACCAGACCACACTGACCAGACCAGACCACGCTGACCAGACCACGCTGACCAAACGATGCTCATCAGACCAGACCATGCTGACCAGACCACACTGACCAGAGCACGCTGACCAGAGCCCACCCATCAGCCCACCCCACGCCCAGCAGCTACCTCGGGCAGGATGCGGCCCCCAGGCATGCTGGAGGGCGGCCCCCCGATGAGGGACACGACGCCGTTGCAGTCCACGGTGCTGTTCCTCTTGATGCTGCGGCGCAGCGCGGGGAAGATGCGCGAGGAGCGGCTGCCCTGGCTGTAGCCGCTGTAGCCGCTGTAGCTGCTGCGCCGGTCGCGGCCGCGGATGGGGATGAAGAGCGAGTCCCTCCTGCCCTCGCTCTCCTCCACCGTGCTGTGCTCGTCGTCTGCGAACTCATTCTCCGAGCCTGGGTCGCGGAAGCGTCCCTTGTAGCTGAAGATGCTGCTCTTGCTGTTGTGGCGGGAGAGGAACGGGGAGCCCGGGATGCTGAGGAGAGACTGCGGAGGAAGAGGAGGAGGAGGAAGAGTGAGCGTTGAGAGGCTGAGAAGAGACTGAGGAGGAGGAGGAGGAAGAGTGAGCGTTGAGGAGAGGCTGAAGAGAGACTGAGGACGAAGAGAAGGAAGAGTGAG